GCTACATTGCAAACATCTCTAGTTGTGCTGGAACTTATCAAATACAAAAGTGCCCATTTCTGCCAAATCCATGAATCCACACACATTAGAAATGGACTTGAGGGAAATGATATTTGCAAACTGAAATTATCTACTTAAATACTGATCAATCTACCAAGAAAGACCTTTTCTATTACAAATTTCAAAGCTGAAGAATTAGGATATTGTTTCTACTAAACACCTAGCATCTTAAACATGCCTCACAGTACCTCTAGCCTTAATTCAACAGGAAAAAAAATGTATTATTTTTTTACCTATGCATCTTTGAAATAGTGACTGCAGGTAGTGAAAAGCACATCATCAATATTTCATAATGCAAAAGTACACGTTATCAGCTGGAAGGTATTGTCCTTGGGTACACAGCTATTCCTCTCAGCAAAAGCATTAATTTCTAAATATACAGACACATGTTGTAGAGCTTAGAATCAGAATTTATTTGTTGCATATCTGGCTGTAATAGACACAGAATTTTTGGCTTAAGTGAACTTTTTTCTCTCTCCCTCTTTGCAAAACACGCCAGTGCAACCCAAGGCCCTTCAGAATTTAAATTATAGTGAGGGCTGTTTTGGTTTGGTTTTTTTCCCTCTATTGGCTGTGGATGTGACAGCCTCATACTGCTAATTCGCTCACACAAGGCAGGCCATGCCTAAATCTTTTTAAAATTAGTGCACTTCAGACTCATAAGAGAAAATAAGATGTTTTACACTATGATTGATTATGGTGTTTAATACAGAGATATTTGTGAGATGGACAGACTCCTCTTCTTATATCTACTTCAGCCAGCACTGGCAAAACAGAAAACATTCCTTGCAAATATGTCAAAAATGCTTCATGAAAAGAGAATATTGGGGAAAAAAGCAAATGGAAAAGGAAGGAAGCAATGCAAATTGAAGGAAGAAAATCCATTGGTATGTCTTAAAATGTATGAACACTGTCAGCTAAAATAAGATCATAATTAGTAAGGGATTCATATTCTGTATACGTAAGAAACGATACAACAACCTGCTAATTGGAGACAATACTATTCAAATGTTGCTGAGGAACAAAGACTGGTACATAATTATGTGTAAGGAGGGGGAGGGTTACAAGAAATGTTTCAATCTAGTAGACTGAGCCGCAGCTGAGAAAAAGCTAAAACAATAACCTTGAAAACAAGCATTAATAATCTACTGTCACAGCACAAAGAGTATAAAGAAGAACATGTTTGTTTACATAATGAGCCAAATTTTGCCTACAGACAGACCTACCTTTCACAAGAGACTCATATACATATTTCCTGTAAAAATAACATCATAGTTTATAATCTGTTTAGTAATGATTGAGACAACACGAGCTGGGAGAACTTACATGTGGCTGATTTTTTAAAAATTATTATATACTTTTTCTTTTTCATTGTGACTACAGAATATAAATGTTCAGGTCTAGCTTCTGGTGCCTGTGCTGCCATTAATAATCACTGGTTGTCCCCAGGAGACAGAAGCAGCAAGCAACCTCACATAACAGTGATGTTGTAAAAAGAAATTCATTAATACTGTATTTGCAGAGCACTCAGATACCACAGTGAGAAGCAGCATGGAAAAGCCTATGAGGAAATTAATCATTTTGCATTCAGCGCAGGATCTGGCAGATATGCAATGAAGAAAGCCTGGAGACATACATTAAATATGAAGATAAAAAAAGATTCTAGCCATTACCAGCAGAAATAATATCCCCTGAATGAACATCAACTGCATCAGACATTAAATGTTTGATGTATTCTCACTCACACAAGGGAAAAACCTCTGATTAATATGGTAAGACTGTAACAAGTACCAGCCAGGTATTCTATGCAAAATATAGAATCTGATAATGTAATTAAAGTTTATCATAAATGTAAGTTTTGGGACTAGTATTTCCTCATTTCCACATGCTTAATTTTGCAGCTAAATAACACTCCCACAGTTAGCAATTATTAACAAATGTACATTATCTGAGTACTCTGAGTCTCCTGTCACCGCAGCTCTAGGTGTGATATGTGTTTGCACAGTAAATCAATCAATCTTCCACACTGCAGTTGCTGGACTTCTGTAATCAAGCTCCCCTGTTAACAGCCAGCTCAAGTGAGTCAGGATAGCACAAACAGGACAAAAAAAGGCATCAGAGTAATGACAAACCTGGAGGTTCACAGCTGGCTCATATGTCTGTACTAACATTGCAAATGCAAATTACTAATTTTATTTTACTCTACGTGAGTTCAGTTCTGCTCTCCCATCAACAGAAGTTATGCTTTATCTTACCCCATCAGCTCAAATCTGAAGTCAGATTTCAATCTTCTCCTCTGTTAATCAGTAAGGAGAGAGTTAATCAGCTGGAGAGGAAGGATGTGTAGGGAAGGCTCTTCCAACCCTTGGGTTGGAAAAGGTTTATCAAAACTGCTTTCTACAGTACTTCAGAAATGGGGAGAAGAGGCAAGGCTCTAGGCATGCCTGTCTAGAAAAACGAAAGATGTGCTAGAATAATTTGGCTGGCATAAGAAGTCTCAACATCTGTGCTGAGATGCAGCAGTACAGTAGCCTATCCTTGTATCTTTTTGGTTCCTTGTCCAAAAAAACCAACACTGCATGAGACTATGAATGCCCGAGTACAGTTCTTAAAGCGACTCCAGATAAACCCATGCCATTTTGTTGAGGCCACTTAAGTCAGAAAGGACATGCTACCTGAAGATGCAGCATGAGGTAGGTAATCAGTGGCTGAGGAATTGCAGCATCCTTTCAAGGTTCCTGATCAGTATATTAACATGTACCTCCTGTGGCTGACAGCCAAATTATCCCTCATCCTGACCCTAGGAACCAGTCTGTACCACATGAGGGCAATAGCTCACGGGTTCTGGTCATCCAGTCTGCTGAAAAGAAAGGCAAGGCTTTTCCACCCTCTCCGTGCAATAGCAACTCATCCTCGTATTTAGTAGGACAGCCCACTACTGGAGATAGTTCAACTCCTGCATACAATCTGCCTTGGAAAGAAGAGCCCAGCCCCTGCCCACCTAGCAAGGCGAAGGTGGACTCAGGAGTGCACGGAATTTCCAGAGCTCCACTCGCTATGTAATGCACTTTCTGTCCATTCTACTGCCCATGGCTCAGGTGCCAAGCATATTTGCTGCTTAGGATCAATCAGCTTAGCTTAATAAGCTGATGAACCACAGAGTAGTGCTTGGACTCTCTGCCTAATTATGATAGATACCACAAGTGTGGGTTTGAGCCTGTTCAGACAAATACATTTTGGTTCTCTATCTTGAGATGCTTCACAGCTTGGCTGAACTATTGATATATTTACCTCTTTCTTTACAGACAAATCTGACAGTTGCAGGAAAAAAAAGATGTCTTCATGAATAAGTTCAAGGATCAATTATGACTGAATTCTGAGGATGCATCACCTCACAAGCAAAGAGAATAATAATTTTAGTAGATAGGTCTTCCAGGATAGCATAGGAAAGCTTGATGTTAAGTTTTGGTGGTTTTTTGTTTTTGTTATGTGTGGTTTTTTTGTTTTGGTTTTATCATTGTTGTTTTTGTTTTTGTTTTTTTTTAAGCTAGCCTACCACTTCGCTTCTATTTGACGTGAGCAGGACATACCATGAACTATTCATACAAGGTCTGCTCATTTCAACATAAAATTAAGACAACTTAATCTGACAGAATTTAAAACTAACCTACTTCTTTTAAGGAATACAAAGACAAATAAAGACTTATCTGGCTTTCAGGGAGATAAAAGCCAAACAACAAACCCAAAGACTTGCAACAGAGCTGGCAATCACCACGTCATAATCAAGACATTCTAATGAAAATATCAGAATTTGTAGAAATAAGCAAAACAAAGCATGGAATTAGAAAATAAAATCATAGTGAGAAAAGCAAGAAGTTATAACTTCGACCTTTGAAAAAGGTACACAATGAAAGCTACAATTCCAGGGTTCAAAGATGACGACAGAAAAATTCACAAGAATTACTAAATGATAGCAACTTTCTCTGATTCTTTGTAGCTAAGAGCACATGATATATCGATAATTTCATTTGAATATTGTAAAATTTCCTGTCATAGAGGAGGATACAAGGAATTTAAACAAATATAGATTGATATTTTTTGGAAGAGGGTGTTCTTTATTCTTTACCATAAACAGACATGTTGTGTTAGGGTGCCACTACACATAGCAACTCCTTTCCTTAGTCTATTTTTTGAGAGTTCCCTTTGTGATCCATATTGTTATCTGTGTCAAAAATTATCACCATCAAAATATATAGGCTCTTTTTGCCCTTTGAAAAGTGTATCCTAGCCTTAAAATCATGCTTTTATCAGATTTTATACATAACTAACATATTCAGGAGAAATGTGTATGAGATAGCTAAAACTTGTGAGTTTAATTTCTTTCAGCATTTCTTAAATTCTCTTTACTATTTTTCCACACAGTTTTACATAAAACAAATTTATTCATGTAGTGCCAGTGTGCAATCCCTCTTTTGACAGGGATTTTTGAGCCTTAAAAACAATGATTAGGAAAACAGATACCAAAGAAACACACATAGCACAGAAAACCTTGTCAGCTGGCTGAATCTGACCAATGGCCTATTTTCCAGTGCTTCAGAATCATCAATACCATAGACATGTTGCTTTATTAATTTGATATTCCTCAAAGAAGGAAACTATCTTGTCCCGCAAGGCATTACAGCAGTCTCTCAGGTTACATTGCCTACCTTTAAAAATGGCAATAGTGAATTTAAACACCTTTTTAATTGCTTGCAAACTGCAAACATCAACTACAGTAACAGTTTCAGACAACTATGAACCAGAGAAAGCTGAAGGTAATTGCAGGGTAGTACTACAATACCAATAGGGTACATTTAATAGATCACTTGAGTCTGCATTTTAAGTAAAAGCAATATCCTGTAGCAGTCAATGGAGTAACAACATAAAGACCTTGGTCTTACCCTTTGTTTTCAAGTCGTTTAATACCTTTGATTCCATGGGCAGTATATCACTCACTAGCTTTATCTCAATATTTCGGGATGCCAGTTCAAGCAACTTTTCAAAAAGACGCTGCCCCTGGGAAGAACATTAATGGAAAGCAGAAGTTGTAAGATACAGAATTGTTCAAACTGTGTATCAACAAATTAAAGAGGGGTGTAAAAACAAAAGCATTATATACAACAGCCAAGTAAATATGTTCCTAGATATGATCAAACCTACCCTAAAGGTTAGCAACTTAAATACTTCTTCTTGGAGAAATACTGTTCTGAAGGCCAAAATGATTTCTTCCTTTGCCCAGATTGCACAACACTATTCATTGCAGGTGCCAGGCGGAAGAGAGTGTCCAGGTTTTTTATGCTGCATAAGCACATTTTGACATTAACTTACTTCTAACGAATTACATTCTGTTGACTTAGGACAAAAAGTTCCAGGAAAATAGTTTGTTACACTTATTCTGTGTTGAGTGATATTTTTGTAAGTGGTTCTAACCATAGTATACAACATTTTCAAGTGGTTTCATGCTCTACTTTAGATGAGTTATACCAGGAAGGAAAACAATTATCTATGGGTATTTTATATGCTTTTCCTTTTTACACTCTTATAAAACTTACATAGTAAAGACCAATTTCTAACACAGAACAAAAAAGAGAATCTCATACTGAGCTAGATATATGTCAAAACAGAAATCAAGATGCTTGCTTCACATGAAAAATAAAATTTTAAATTGTCAGATTTTTCCGTATCCAAGAAACAAAGAGCAAGTAGAACTTCCAATTGCACAGTAAATGCTTAATTTTTAGAGTCAATATTTTCAATGAAATAAAAAAGTTTAGTTACAAACATCTAACTAGATAAGGTCAAAAATAAACTCTCCAGCGTATCACTACTGTGCTGTTAGTACAGCCACAGCCAGATCTCATTTCCTTGCTGCCATTCTAGCTTACTACAGTGGACACTACTTTCAATTAGCAGTCCAGTACACAAAGACTTTGGGTTTATGCAGCTGACAAAGTGCCTGCCCTGCCTTTAGATTCACTTTAGATTCAATTTAATGCTGGCCCGAATGTAAAGCAAAACCAAAAAAAAAAGTAACAGTCATATATCAACTTTGAAACAAACAGGTAGAAGATAAAGCTCTTCACAGAACCTATTTAACAAAATGACCAAAACAAAGCAATTTGGGATGATACAATATGACGTAGCATGGACCAACAAAACCCCAGACAAAGGCCCTCTCCACACATTGCTGTGCAAATCAAGTGGCTTTCCCTCACATACCTCATGAAGCTAAAAGAATCATTAATTCTCACACCACAGATTGTGCTGAGTCTTTTTTTTTAAAAAAAGGACAGATGTTAATAGAAAATGTAAGAATTAAAGAGATAATAGCATGGAGGAGATGGATGCTGAACATACAGTTATGCAGCAGCTCCAGCATGATTCTAGGAGAGCAGAGGAGCACTGATCAGTATTTCTGGGTGCCCTGCTCCCTCCAAGAGTGTTTCTCCTGCAATTGCTGCAGTCTGGCACTGCTAGACTCTAAGAAAATCCAGGAACAGAAATCACTGTCCTCGTGTCTGCTGAATTCCCAAACCATGCCCCATCCTCCAGAGTGAGAGCCTCCTGGTATGGCAGAGCTCAGCCAGCCTTTGGACATACATATGGGTCCCCCAACTGGAGAAACCAGCAGTTTTGATTTTCCTTAGCTATATCTTTGCAAAAGTAAGCTGGGGAAATTAAGGACTAAAAGGCTTGCATTATGGAAATGAATTAATATACATATAGGTAGAAACAGCTACTCAGAAAGGTACTCTGTGTTTATTTAATTTACTAAGTAGAAATATAAATACTATTTTTGTTTAGGTTATGTGTAAAAACTGATTTTGTCTGGAAGCATGGTAGAAAGGTCTAGCATATAAAAATACCCATCAAAAAATTGTTAATAAATTTGAGTGATATTGATTAGCATCATCAATACAAATTAATTCATTAACTGTTCTGCTGAAAAAATATTTAGAAAGTTTACTTCTCAAGCTGATAAAATTAATTGCTTCAGGGGATGGTTCTTACAGTTTTTTCCCTATGGTAATTATTTTTGGACCTTATTGTCTCTTCTACCTGCATAAGAATATATTTACATATGATTTACAAAAGCTTGGATAAACAAGCCTCTCCTTGATAAACAAGTATCTCTTCCTGGCACCTCTTCCTGAGTTTTGCCTGATCTTAGTATGCCCTGATGTGATCAACATAGCTGTCTCTTACAGGCCATGCTGCCTGCTGAAGAGTCTATCCTATGGGTGAATGTATCACTTGAAGTGCAGCCCTGCATTCCAATGATGCCATTTTCTCTGCAAATACACCTATTTCTGCATCATGGACACTATAAGCTATTAGTTAATATACTTTTTTTTCCAATTATTTTCATAAGGGATAGAACCTCAAAATTGATTCAACATTCAAAGTATCTCTAAGTACTGATGGTTAAGTCTAGGAGTGTACACACCACAAATATTTGTATTTATACAGGTACACAAAAACCCACCACCCAGTGACAGAATTGGAAAGAATTCCCTCTGTCTCATCTCTCAGCAGGCATTCATTTCCTCACCAAGGTTTAATCAAGACACTCTAAACTATGAAAAATTCACAACTTGCTTTTAAAAATCTGTACACACTTTAGTTCTTCCTTCATTGCTGAAGAATCTGGTCTCCGTCCCTATTAATATTAATTTGAAACTCAGTTTCTGTACTTTCTGACATGTTTACTTGCAATGTTACTGTTTTTTCCCTATGAAAAGGAAAAAAGAAGGGATGGAAGGTCTAAAGAGTTTTGTCACTGCTGTCAGCACATTTGAAATGCTTCTGTTGAATACAAACCCTCATGCTGTCATTCAGACCACATTCCCTTTGCGAGACAATACCAGGCTGCTGCACAACTACGTGACAATGATCAGAATCATTTCTATATATCCAGCTTGTGAGGACTGAGAAACAGTAGCAGCCAACTGCTATGAAACTGGCATGCTACCTTACAGCATATCTGCATTTTAACAAACACTGCCACCAGAAATCTGCTTCTCCTGATAAAATATTCTCATACGCTTTTCACTGGGCTGTTTCAAAAAACCTACCAAAAGTGACAAAATAGGATGTAAAATGTACTTATAACATGAACAAACTGACATTCACAAGGTAGCTGTAAATTACTATACATCTCAAACATAATCCCAACTGTACCTGCCACACAAACTCTTGTTGTTGTCATTATCAAAAGACCCTGAAATTGCCCCCAAAGCAATTTATTGGCAGTCTCATGACAGGCAGATTCTAGCCTGGCTGATTTCCCTTGCCTGCTGTTGTCTCTGTCAGCATGCATTCCTTATTAGAAATAAAATGGGGAGATACAAACATGAAAATGCAGTATTTACTGAAGTACTCTAAAACTGAATTATTGTGCTCTTCAGTAACTTGCATTCCTATAGTTTAAACAATGTCTAGCTTTTTCTTCCCACAGACATAAACCTGGTTATGTTGTAGACTTTTCTTCTCAGGTTTTTCTCTAAAGTTTTACTAATATTTTAAAAAAGTTTTCCTATAATCAAGCCTCTGAGTATATTTAAAAACATCACTAAAAATCGTAACATGCCGGCAGAAACCAATAGAGCAAATAAATCAAGAAATCCTAACTTTAAATTCTTCTGTTTAATACAGAATAGAGAAAATTAATGCTCTCCTCAAATTCTTCTAAGTGAAACAGCTAATGAAGAAGGAGGGAATGTGCTTTCATTTTAAAATCTCTTCTTTTTGCACTTATTTTCTCTGCCTCAGTCTGTACCAGCTGCACCAGGGAAATACCACCAAGAAGAGAGATGTTTATGTATAGATGAGCTTATGGGAAAGAAAACACACTGCAATCTCTGTAGCTGATGGCAGCAAATTTCTGCTGGTAGCTGCTAGGTTTGGAGGTGTGTCCTTCTTGGTATTTATTTGTAATTTTTTAAAATAATTGTCAAAGAAGGGAATTTAAGCTCTTGCACTAACATTTGTTTTAACAAACAAATCACTAAAGATCCTTGGCCAATGCATGTGTGAGTGACGCATGACTCGTCATCAGAGACTCACTACAAAGCTGGCTTACATGAGACAGAGTATCAGGTGGAGTGGGGGACCTCTCCCATCAAACCATTTGGGAGATGCACAACAGGTGGGTGAATAAAGTTAGAAATCTCTACTTTTTATGTGATCATTTTAAAACTCAGATACAGGTCTACTCTTAGATCATCTTATATTCATCCAAATAGCCATCGAGGAAGAACTGTACCAATAAGAACAGGCAGTACCAATAAGGCAAAATAACATTAATTCTTATTTATGAAAAATAAACCAAAGTTTGTGAAGGACTTGCTGGAAATCTAAAAGGTCGTTCTAAATTAAAGTTTCTAAACATGAGATGAGCCAGAGGAAATGAACTGTGAAAATCGTGAAACTGGCATGATCTTGCATTCACCTCTCTCTTTTCACTGCAAATGAATTAAAAGCAATCAAACAATTTTTTTCTGTTATCCTGTAATATCTCTAAACATCAGATTGCCACAGGAAGAGTCACACATTCACATTCCACAATAACCTCAATGCTTCTACATGACAACTACCCTGTTATCTTGAAAACACAGCTATGACAACACAAAGCTGCCAAAATATGTGGTTTTCTTTTGAATGAGAAAGGCAAGTGTAGAAAGCCTACTCACTCTTTTGCCAAACAAATATTTTTTTAGTTGACCACTTATGCAATAGAAGCATAGAAATACTGTATCATCATCTGTCTGCTTTTAGGGAATCCAATTTAGCAAGACTCATGATCTCAGATGACTGAGCAAGGTGTTGTGACCCAGACAGCTCAACCAGCAATAAATGTTTATTTAGATTTATAGCAACAAAATATGGAGAGGTGAGAGTCAAGGACACTAGGTAACGTACCCATAAACAAAAAATGAAGAAAAATAGAGCAGGAAATTCTGCAATTTCATATACGCAGATATATACATATATACATATGTCCAATACACATTTAGACAAGATAGACAATATGTATATATAAGGATGATACGTATATTGATCATATGTATGTATGCATGTATATAAAGTTGCAAAATTTCCTGCTGTATTTTTCTTCAAGATGTATATTGGACATATAAATGTATGTATTTGACTACACGAAGATATATAGAGAATGTAGTTAAACTTTGTAACTAACTGAAAAAAAGCAATCTAGCCTATTCTGCTTTTCTCTTCCAAAAATCCATGTCTGTTCAAGCGCTCTTGCGGAGAACCTTGCTTTTTAATATGCCTTGAATATTCATAAAATGAAAATTGCTAGTTACAGAGCAGGGTGTGGGTCCATATGGAAAATGATTTTGTCCTTAATTTCTAAAAAACGAGAATAATTCAAGGAACTAAGACTTACTCACTAAGCACTGTACTATATCCTTACCTTTCATAATGCTTCTGCTATTTGGGGGCAAATTTTCCTAAAATTGCAGAGACTTGAGGCCATTCAACTTATTATTCAGACCATTACTAGATTACAGCTAGTGAAGCTCCTCTGAAACTCCACTTTCATTTCACAAGTGGAGAAAGCAGATGTAAGGATACAAGTTTCCTCCCTTCCCTTTCACAGACCAAGCTTTGTGTACATTCTCTGGGGCAGTGATTTGCTAAGAAACATTGCTTCTTGGCAATTTTTTAGCAATCAGACCAGCCAATAACAATATAGTGTTTTAGCATGAATAGACAAGCTTGACAGAAAAATCTATCAGCTGTTCAGTTCACACTGCTGTACAAATGAGGAGATGACTGGAATATTAATTGCTGTTAAACAGAAGTAATTACTCACTTTTGTAAGACTACTAGCAGACAGAAATAGATAACTAGAATAGAATATTATGAAAAATGTTCCATGTTTCTGGCTTTAACTGTGTATTTGAGGATGAAAGAACAAATCCACTTCTTAGATGTCTCTTCTTTCTTTCCCTGCTGAATAATATCTTCCAATTTTTACTTTGCATGTGAATGTGGAACAGTGAATGGATTTGATACTTAACTATTGAAATCCCAACTTCTAGTTTCCTATTTCTTGTCCTTTGTTTGGGATTTATTAGGCTCTGCTGGTTTTGAAGCAAACGACACGTTGAATTTTTTTTCAGACAAAACACTTTTAAAAGATTCATGCACATATCAATTCATGCACACCTTAGAAACATCTGAGGCACTGTCTCTTTGAATACATCTGCTTGAATGACAGTACATGGTTTTTGAAGTTACTTAGGCAATAAATTTAAATAAAGTTTAGCTGCATAATTACATTGTGAAAAAGTCAATACTTTGATATTCCATGACTTATTCACAAACTATACTCCAACATTTATAAGCATTCTAAAAGGAAGAGTTTGCATTAAATTTTCTATTTGTCTTCTCACCTTAGATTTTTACTATTTTAAATGGACATGCAGCAAATTTATTCTGAAGAAAAGTTAATGTATGCTGTGGAACTAGGCTACAGCCTCTTTCAAAAGAAGTAGAATTTAGTTGCTCAAAATACCAGGTTTTGTCTATTATCCACCAAAAGGCATTTTCTTAACTGCACAGCATCAACAGAATTAGAGAGGAAAGGCAAGAGTTTATGGCACAGTATAATAAAGTTGATTCATTACAGTTACCTGGCTGTCATTTTAACTTCATTTCATGTCAGTTGAGCTGCTTCTCTCAGCTAAAAATCTATTTAGCGGAAAAGAGGAGATATTCTCACAGCCTATCAATTCTTTGATGTCTTAGTTTTACAACTGATACTAAATGGAAACCTGCCCTAACCATATTTCTAAGAGGATAGCTCTCAAGAATTAAGTTTTTGTTGGCATAGCATCATTGTAATGCATGTCTGTCTTATTCACTGTGATTTATGATTTTTCCTATTGTTCTTAATTGCAGGATCTTGAATACCAGTCCCTCCCAAGATTAATTTTGAAAAGCTATGAATCATCTGATACTATATTGTTTTTTATAAGTGTAATTCTATCCATCTATTTGGCAGCAGAATTAATCCACATGCTTGCTCTTTTATTTCATCGGTTGCATCAAGTAGAAAATAACTATAGATTTATGAATATTCCTAAATTATGGATGTGCTAATATAGGTACAATTTGGCAGCTTTCTTAAGATTACACAATTATATCTTTTCCTAAGATGGAAGTGATATGAGTACATGTTGAATGTTATCTAGTCCAAGCACACCACCACTCTCAGAAAACTATTGTACTGGCAGGAAAATTCCCACAAGAAAATGATTTTTTAGACTACCTGAACAAATAGGTCTGCTACAGGGAAGGGTCATAGTTCTATAAAATTAATACTGTAGCAACAAGAACAGACTGTTAAAGTCCCACTCTTTTGTTAGGCTAGAACATACCTGGCATGCTGATGGATGACTGTGATTGAGGTCCCACTGGGAAGATACTATGTCAACAGACTTTTCAGCCATATTAAGCAAATTCATCCAGCCTTGGAAAAGAGACAAATGGGATGGTGCATTGTCTGAATAGTTGATCCCTTCAGGAATATTTTCCACAAGAGCAACCCTGAGAATAGATAAGGAAAAAATAACCACTTAACAAAAGCACTTTTCTTTATTAAAAAAAATTCAAAATTTTAAAGAATGTCAGGTTTCAGGCCTGAAGTTCAGCATCTGCTCCCAGAAGCTTTCAGCCGTGTGCCACCCACAACTCCCTCTGAAGTTGCTGACTGTCATACTCCACGCTTCTCAAAACAATAGAGTGGAGAAATGACCTACTGGTAATGCAGCAAAGCCAATTAAGCTTTTGAAGCTCTGCAAAATTAGCTTAAACGTAGAAAAGCTTACTTTTTTAACACACTAAGTGGGAATCAGTCCTTAAAGTGAGGATGGGAAGAATGAAACAATCTTTTCTTGTTTTGCCCTCTCATCTCTGCATTTAGTCTCTTCTCTCTAAGGAATATGGCAAGATGTAAACTTGGCATTCTCTTAGGTTTGCTTTTCCAGCTGACATTTTATTACACTGCAGTCTCTAAATACGAACTCTCCCTTTCCAGTTGTTCTAAGCTACCTAATTGTTCTGCTTTTACCTGTGTAAGGCTCTAACTGGGATCCAGTGGTTAAAAAAGAAGAACTATGCCCTTCTAATTTCCTGTTTTTTTCTGAAAGGCTCTTTGATCTAACTGCCTATAGTACACAAAACATTTGTAAAAGAGATTACATACAATCATACGGATACAATCACATCCAAGAAGTGAAACAAACATTGTAGTAAACTGACAGTTGAAAATATGCTCCTCTGCTTCAGGGAAATGATGTGTTTCATTCAGCATAGTGCCCCATCACTGAATTTCCTTAAAATGCAGCAGATAAAACTTCTCTCTACACTCAATACAGGAATTTTAAAATTAAACACAATTCAAACAAGACCCCCAGTTTTGTCTTTAGGTAAAAAGATTAAATTTTCAGCTTATCCAAGAGGCACTTCTATAAGTGCCCCCAACATCTGCCGCTTTTACTGTGAATCATACAAACCAAATGTAGAAAAGCTGTAATAGGAACTTGGAGAATACTCCTCTTCATTGTATCCAAGTACATCAAGCATTTCCACACTGTTTTTGTACTTGTTCCTAGAGTTAATTATCAACTCCAGCAATAGGAATATAACTTGTAAACTTTAAGTAAATTATTACTGCAAAATTCTAGTGTCTAGTCTTCTGTTAACCCAGTGGACCCTAAAGGGTTTACATGGGAACTTTTACAACTATTTCAGATTATCAAGCATGTTTGTAAAGTGAACCCATTAAAAGATAGAAAATTAGTACTCTTAAACAATGTAAAGAAAACCCAGTAAGAATTGTAAATAAGTAAACCTGTGGTCATTATAGTATTCTTAATCTCCTGACCTGGCAAAAAATCCCCCACCAAATTAGAACAGGCACAGCTCTTCCTTTCATTAAACATTCAAGCATGTTCTCTTATTCCCTGAAATCTGTCAAACAACACATAGCACTAAGCTGTAATTACCAGCGATGCTCTCCACAACTTACTATGAAGACTATTCTATTTTTTAACATTAAACTTCTCTACGTTACAGAAATGAAGATGTAACACCAGCAAATAGACTGCAAAATGTTAAAACACAACTTAATTTTTAATATCTTGAAAGTATATTTTACTCTAAAATATCCTACCCACATTTTTACAAACTTTTTGAAATAACTAGTACTCTAAAAATTTAGTGCTTTATTAAGCCATTAAAAAAAAAAAAAAAAGAAAACTATTTTACTCTAACACTCAAGATTTTAGGCTTATTTCTGCTGCCTATAATCCTGTTAGAAAAGTTAATAAAACTTAGATCCCTTGAGAGCCTGGTTAGTTCTTTCTCAGTAGTTAACATTAATAATCATATTGCAGCTCGTAGCATGTCCAATGCTTCCAGAAGAATTTTATGGAGAGTTGTAGGATGGCCACCTTCAAAGAGCAAGAAATTTAAGCTCAGAAGCTAAAGTGATCTCTACAAGGACATAAAAACACCCTGAATAATCCATGGCAAAGATAAAACATGAATCCACATCTTTCTGACATCTTCCATCCCCTACCCAATCATGCCTACATAGAGGAAAGAGTTTTTCTGAATATTCTTCAAAGACATTCTTCATATCAAATGATTTTACAGAAATAAAGTAATCTGTCAAACGTAGTTCTGACTTAGCTAAAATTTAAAAGTGTTTATCGTTCCCTTGACACAAGTTCTGACCAAAATTTCTCAACATTAGAATATTGTCTGACACAGCACAGCATTTTCCAGTGGAACTAATGCAAATGAATACACAGGAGCCCACAAAATACCTGATACGACTGAATCTGTCACAGTCATTTCCAGTGGCTTTTAGCAGTGTTTCCTATGGGCAGTTTCCTACTGAACTGGTATCTCACTGGAAAGCATCAGCTTAACTTCCATTTTTCCTATCTCTATCTTTGAAAGTTGCCAAAAAAGTAACACTGTCGTCACAGAAGGGCTGAGATGATCTGGAGACAACGTAGCTCAACCCTGCTTGTCAAAGGAGGGTCAATAACAGCAGGTTGATCAGGACACTGTCCAGTCAGGTTTTTGCATATCTCCAATATCTCCAAGTCCCAACACCACCATATTTGAGACTGGGGACCTGATCCAATCAAACACATACATGTTCATTTGTGACTTCACATTGTTTAGGTCTGAAGTAGGGGAAAATGTATCTATATATTACAAACACTGATTCCAAAAGTCACTGGAATCTATACCTTAAAATGTAATGGAGAAAGAGCTATAGTTGTGGGTCATTGCTCTATACATATATTTTGGTACAGATACCATCCAGATATGCAAAAAATTGGGCTCTTCTCCTGTTTCATGGGTTAAAACCATTTACTTATTCAAAGAAAGTAGCAAGGCAAATTTACTGGGCAAAGAGGAATTCAACTCCCTCTTAAAAGGGTCCTTGTCAAGGACAAGGTGCCTCTTGATAAGGAAGGTTATCCTGACTGTTGGAATGAACTTGCTCTTCGCTAGGACAACAGCTCCAAGCTCTTAAATCTGCACAGCATTCAGTAGGCTACAGCACCAGTACTAAATAAGGCATGTGACTACACAAATCTTGCCATTTTATGATATGGGTTTGATAATCCAGTAGAAGGCAAATGCGTTCCAGTTAGCAGAACTGTAATTTAGAACAGATATTATCTGGTATTATATTTCCTAGTCTTCTGTTTAGCCAAATAATAAACAAAGGGAAGTGGTCACAGCACAAAGCCTGTCCAAATTCAAGAAGCATTTGGACAACGGCTCTCAGGCATATGGTGGATTCTTGAGGTGTCTTGTGCAGGGCCAGGAGTTGGACTCAAGGATCCTGGTGGGTCCCTTCCAACTAAGCATATTCTACGATTCTCCTTTTTGTTCTTTAACAGAAAAAAACCACAAAGAACAAAAAAACAACCAAACCAAAAAAACCCCACAACTAAACCTAAAAAAACTCACCCACATTTAATCTAGCTGAGGCAGTAGTTAAAAAGTTGCTTTCAGAGCTTAAACATACCTTTAAAAATGAACTGATTCTGTCAAAACCTTACAATATGTTCCCTTACCGAATCAAAACTCAACAGCAAGCTCAGAAGTTATAAAAAAAAGTCAAGCACCAAGTTTTTACACAAAGTGATTTTGCCTTTATAATCTTCCCTTCTTCTTTGGCACAATAGCAAAGTTCCAGTGCTTAGTCAAGATGAGTTTTGTTAAAACTTCTGTGCAAAAATTTGAGTTTGCAAGTCCCAATTCCATCAATAAAAGCTAAATTTAGCTTTCATTTTTGTTCCAACATGACCCACAAAGAGGTTTTTCAAATTTAGTTTAATAAAAACTTCCAGGAGAGAAGGTTGTTCACAGACCTTGAGGGAGGTTAGATATTGTGACATAATTTATTCTGCAAAAATGGCATATTAACAAAGCAAAACAGAACAAATGTACCATGGTGATTAAAACAGGATTCTTCTACCCTCAAAATCATTAGCAGATAACCTTACACCTGTTGAATGAGATGTCCTTTCCCTCTCTGATTTCCTGGTGCTCTGTTTCATCTGATAATGCCAACATAGGCTAGTCTCTTCAGGTTTATAGCTGATTATTCTCAAAACTACCTCATAGAGACTGAGAAGCCTGAAAGTAATGTCACACAATTTCTGTGAAGTTAGAGAGAGAGACAAGGGTCAGAGCTGAGATTCAAGCTCTTCTTAGCTAACAGAAATGTGGCAAATGGAATGGTATTTAACATCTACCAAAGAATAGACCACGACCTCAATAATAAGACACTTCTGAGCTCAGCCACAAGACATGCATTTAGCATTTCCAAGTGAATTCTGTACCCGGTTAAGGGTTCTTCTTCATCTTTGACAGTTCTTTGACCAGAAAGCAAGAAGATTTGTTTCTGATCTCACACCAATTTCTTTCTCTGAAGGAAACAGAGACTCTTAACTCAGCATATGGGTTAATTAGAGTAGAAAAAGGGTTAGGACAGTGAAAATAGACAGATGCTATATGTGTGTCTGTTGAACAAACTTGGGGCTATTGGCAAAAATCTATAGCTCTGTTGAAAAGTTTAGCTGTAATAATTATACTAATATAAAAGGAAAGGGTTTTCTGATGGTTCATACTTCAAACCATATTAAAATTATAAACTGTAAAACATTATTCACTCCAGTTTCTCTCAATCCAGAGTTATCCACTAAAGAAAACCCAGGTAATATGTACTTGAGCATCTCTACATCACCTGAATTTACTCACCATTAAAAGGAAAAAACGTGGTAAGAAATCTCTACAGTGATTTGTATGAGACAATAAAGAAATAAAAGATGACCAAAGCCTTTGACATTTAATTTCAATTAAGGCTTTCACCATCTCACTTTCAAGCCCTCCACATCATTCTACATTACATCACTCCTACCACTCTTCTCCCTCAGATCTACTCATTAGCTGTCGTGCTGACCAAGAACATCTTCTCTTTAGCTTCGCAACAGAACCACAGCAACAGGTCT